CTGGGATGGTTTATATCCATTTATTTTATCCCAGTCTTACCGTCCGGGCTATGTCGAAGTGTTTTCCAGCCAGCGATGATACCTGTGGCTCTCACAGCCTTGAATTTCTGGATATAAGCCTCTTCCATCGTAATTTGTCACTGCACCTAAAAATGGGGCATCTCCTGCCGAGCCCCACTTTGCAGGACTTGTTTCCTTCCGTCCTCTGCCCCTCTTCGAGCAGCTCATTTGAAGCTTCTGTCCAGTGGGTCCACCCTTAGGGGCAGCTGCTGTCGTCTGCTGCCTTTCCCACGTAGGCACCATAGTTTCTCGTTTCTTTGCCTGTCTCATAAATTTCTGCGGCAAACTGACTTTTTAAGTAATATAAGGGTACTTCGAAAAGCCCATGGAAGTGAAATGAAAAGATAAAGTGTATTTTGTTGCACATACTTTTGAATCGTGCGTAGTTTTTTTTCATCATACGCGATTCCCATGAACTTTCTGAAGCCCCCTTCTATAACCGGGCATCTGTGAAAATCTGATCATTTCGCCCTCACCGAGGTTTGGCGCGGCGGCTGCTGTTTGTGACTTTGCCAAGCTCATTCTGAAGGTCCATGCTCCTTTCGGGGCGTGACCATGGAAGTCTCTGCTCAGCCAACCATTGGACAGAGCATGCTGCGAAAGCCTGGAGGCGAGCTCCCCCAGTGTCTGCAAGGTGTCTGTGCACGGTGAGGTGCGTCTCCAACTCTCAGCCAGGCACTTGACAGCTGTCCTCACCTTCGCTTCTCGGGGCACAGAGCCTCGCATCTTCAGAGCGGGAGTCAGGGCTTCTCGAGCGTTCTCGGGTGTGTGCGCACCCTGCATGCCCACGCGGGCTTCTTGAGTCTCCGGGAAACTGCAGAGCTTTTCCAAACCCCTTGGGGCACCTTTCCCCGGCTTCTCTTCTCGTTTCTGTATTAGCCTCCTATTTTCCTCAGCTGTTATCACTGCCCCAGGCGGTTACAACATAAAACAAACGCTACTGGTTTTATTTTTATTTTTTATTCTTTTTTTTGACAGGCAGAGTGGACAGTGAGAGAGAGACAGAGAGAAAGGTCTTCCTTTGCTGTTGGTTCACCCTCTAATGGCTGCCACAGCCGGCGTGCTGCGGCCAGCGCACTGCGTTGATCCAAAGCCAGGAGACAGGTGCTTCTCCCGTTCTCCCATGCAGGTGCAGGGCCCCTGCACTCCCAGGCCACAGCAGAGAGCTGGCCTGGAAGAGGGGCAACCGGGACAGAATCTGGCGCCCCGACCGGGACTAGAACCTGGTGTGCTGGCGCCACAGGCAGAGGATTAGCTTACTTGAGCCGCGGCGCCAGCCGCTACTGGTTTTAGAAAAGTGCCCATGAAAACGGCTGTTGTGACTGGCACTGTGGCACCGCTGATTAAGCCGCCACCTGTAATGCCAGCATCTCACATCAGAGCACCAGTTCAAGTCCTGGCTGCTCCAATACCAATCCAGTTCCCTGCAGAAGATGGTCCAAGTGCTTGGGCCCCTGCCACCCACGTGGGAGACCCGGATGGAGTTCCAGACTCCTGGCTTCACGCTCTCTCTCTCTCCCTTCCTCCCACTTTTCAAATTAATGAAATAAATCTTTAGAAGAAAGAGAGAAAAATGGCCATTTACACTGGGCAAGCTCAGACAAAGACAAGCCGTGCACGTGCGGATTTCTGGGAAACAGCCCAGCACGTGAAACAGTGGGAACTCCGCCACGGACTTCAACGAGCTGCAAGCCAGTCCCGGCTCCTCCGGTGGCTGCCACACCACTGGCTTTCACCATGATTTCAGCTCCGGTGGCTGCCAGCTGCTGGTTGGCAAGGCCGACGCAGAACTGGGGAGGGGTAAAAGGCCGCAAAGTGGAAGCTTGGGATCTTAGTGAGATTCGGCCATTCTCCTTGAGCAAACGCTCTGGGGCTCACGTCCAGCGTTCTGGAAGGACTCCTCGCGCCCCCTCCACCAGTGCGCACCGCTTTTGCGGAGGACCCGGTTCTCATACATCTCATTCCACTGTTCCCAGTGTCGTCCTTTGACTGCGTCCTTTGTAGTCCCTTCACACGTCTATACCGCGTCTCTCTCCTGATAACTCCCATGTACTATAAAATCTTCATTCAGGTTTTGGTTTTCATAATGGTTTTTCATTTCTAGTTATGTCTGATTATTTACACAGCCAGAAATAAAAGTTCTGGAGGCATTTTTTTATGTTGTTTGATTGCCAAGAACAATCAGCAGTGACTGTGTAATACGGCTGCTGCCCATGGCAGTGAGAACGCTGGAGAAAACAGCAGGCTAACTAAAAAGACAGAAGGACAAACTGAGGAAAGACATCCATGGGCGGCTTTGAAAAACTTCCACAAAGGCCGGAGCCGTGGCTCACTAGGTTAATCCTCCACCTTGCGGCGCCGGCACACCGGGTTCTAGTCCCGATCGGGGCGCCGGATTCTGTCCCGGTTGCCCCTCTTCCAGGCCAGCTCTCTGCTGTGGCCCGGGAAGGCAGTGGAGGATGGCCCAAGTGCTTGGGCCCTGCACCCCATGGGAGACCAGGAGGAAGTACCTGGCTCCTGCCTTCAGATCAGCATGGTGCGCCGGCCATGGCGGCCATTGGAGGGTGAACCAACGGCAAAGGAAGACCTTTCTCTCTGTCTCTCTCTCTCACTGTCCACCCTGCCTGTCAAAAAAATAAATAAATAAATAAAAAGAAAAACTTCCACATGTCCCCGAGAATCCAGAGGACCCTCCGTGGATGTTCACATGTGGACGTCTGGGCTACACACCTGCCTTCTCCACTTTCTAGTCCCCTTACAATAAGAACGTACTTCTTTCTCCAAAAGAGATTTGTAAATGCTTTGTTTGAAAAGCCAGAGACAGAGACAGACAGAGATCGCCCATCTGCTGATTCACTCTGCAAATGCCCACAGCAGCCGGGGCTGGACCAGGCTGAAGCTAGAAGCCAAGAATCCCATCCAAGTCTCCCGTGGAGGTGTCAGGGAGCCACAGACCTGAGCCGCCAGCTGCTGCTTCCCAGGCTGCACGTCAGCGAGCTCTGGAAGTGGAGCTGGGACTCAAACCCTGGGAATCTAGCGCGGGTGTGGGTATCTGCAGCAGCACCCGGCAGCAGCACCCACTCCCAACAAAGATATTTTGTCACCTTTACCCCCGGCCTCCTAGTTGTGCTTCAATCTGTGCCCACCTCCCTCTGCCCTGGCATCTACCCCACCACTCCCCAGCACAGGTAAGGAGTAAGTCGGAAGAGAAGCATCACTAGAAAAAGAAAAATAAGGCGAAGCCAAAGTGTTCTTTTCAAATTGTGGAAGTCTGACCTTCGGAGGCGTAGGTAGACTTCCTGCGGGCCAGCCAGGGCAGCGCTGAACAAGCATGCCACTCCGGTTCTGAGGCCAGGAAGACGCGCACGGGTGTGGAGTGAGGACTGGGGATGGCTCAGGCTCTGACACCTGCCGCGGAGCCCATCGCTTCAATCCCTGGCACCCAGCTTCCCCCTTCCAGACCAGGAGCAAGAGCCCCAGTGCGGGAACATTCAGCAGCTCTGAGCCCTGCTGTGGAAGCAGCCCGCGGCATCCTCGTCCCCAGCCCCGCCCACGTTCAGCACAGAGCAGGTGCACAGCATAGTACTGGCTGTCCTAGCAGATGACTGACTGACTGACGGTTCGGCCAGCTGGCTGCTCTATGAGTGAGTGACCGGGGCCCACACAGGAGTTTCGTGAGTCCCCAGTAGTTTTGCCTCTGTGGACCCCATACTCCATTTTTGACAATTTTCTTTAAATTGTATTTCGCAACTGCGTTGGTACGAAGAGGACTATTTTTTTTTTTCACAACTGGTGTTGAGAATCAGTACCCAGACATTTCAATGTGTACATGATTCTTTTTGGAATTTTATTTTTATGCCCAATATTTTTATTAAGATAACGAGAACAGATCTCACGCATTTCAAAGATACAATTCTAAGAACACAAGGCTTGTTCCCTCCCTCCTTCTTCCTTCCTTTCTGTCTTTTTTCTTTTAATTTTTGCAATGACATACTTTCAATTTACTTTATAATCACGGGCTTATTACTCCACTAAATATAGTGTTCAACAAGTGAGACGCGGTTTCTTCTAAAAGCTCTTTTTTGTTCTGACCTTAAAAGGAATTAAAATAGTTCCATGGACCGCTAAAGCATCGCGGGCCTGGACACTGCCCCCTCGCCTGAATGAATGATGCCATGGACGCTCTGTTTCCTGGGAATTCTTCCAAGGGTGCTCTCTGGCTTCCGGAGGAAGCTCACTGGCGTTGCCCACACCCCAGGCCGCGTCTGCCGCCTCGCTTTCTTTTCTAAGGAGATGAGTGGGGCTCCCCGCATGCTGACATGTCGCATTTCAAAGGAAGCTGCTCCCACGCCAGGCCCGCCTGGAGCTCACGTGACTTTGTGCAAATTAGCAAAAGGGCTTCCCATGTCTAAGCAGGAGAAAAAGGCATCGAAGTCAAACGCTATTGCATGACCTGAGCTACGATGCCCACTGGGCCTAGGGAAATGCAAATCCAGGTAGGTATCCCTTTCGGCCCAAAGGGACCATACTCATGGCCTACGTGGGAGGCAAGCGAGCACCAGTCCGTGGCCTCCAGCTCATGGGCAGCCTGCGTGCAGCCCCACAAGCCAGACTTCAGCCCGAGTCTGTGGCCGAAGCACTCAAATCCCATCAGACCTCGGGGGAAGCTTCTCCAAGCAGTGGGTAGCCAGAGTCAGGACGTCAGGGTTCTTCCAGGACAAAGAGTGGAGGTGGCGTAGCCACAGATGTGCACGTGCGCTGTGTGCAGGCACGCTTCAGGGGAGCCAGGAGTTTGCCGTTGGTCCCTGGGACTCCACCAGGGGCACGTGTCTACGGTGTGAGTGACCTCTCGTTGGTGGCAGTCCCTGTGCAGGTGTCAGTGTGAACAGCCCCCTCCCTCCCCAGCTCACACCTCCTAACGCCGCCCCTCCTCTCCGCAGGGATGACCTGCCAGGCCCGGAGCTCCTACATCACCAGTGAGATCCTGTGGGGCTACCGCTTCACGCCTGTCCTGACGCTGGAGGACGGGTTCTACGAAGTCGACTACAACAGCTTCCACGAGACCTACGAGACGAGCACCCCCTCCCTGAGTGCCAAAGAGCTGGCCGAGCTGGCCAGCAGGGCAGAGCTGCCCCTGAGCTGGTCTGTGTCCAGCAAACTCAACCAGCACGCGGAACTGGAGACTGAGGGGGAGGAAAAGGAGCTGGAGGAGCAGACGGAGAGGAACGGTGATGTGGCAAACCTAGAGAATGAATCCAAAGTGTAGTGGCCTTGCGGGCGCGCGCCCCGGCGCAGCCTCTCCCGGTCTCGCATTCGCTCCCTCTTCTGTCTCTCTCGCTTTGTTCTTTACTTATTTCTATTTGATTTTGACATCACCACACAACAAATCTTCAAGGTGTAAAATATCTACCTGCCCCCTCTCAGTTATTTAGATCGACGAGGTAGACACGGATTTGGTTGAGGTGCGACGCTCTGTGGCCCAGGCCTGGGCTCTTCCCCAAAACACCGCATCCCACCCCCACAGATTTAAGCTATGGACCTGCGTGGGTTGGACAATAACAGACCACTCACGAGAGCGCGTCAACGATGCTGGCGGGGAGGCGGCAAGTTAGGTCTCCAGGGCCGACCTATTCATGGCGTGGAGCCCTCCACGCCCTAAACCCGAACACGCTACTTCTACCACGGGCCAGGTGCTTGTCCCAGGCGGGCGCTGCAGTTACGGGACCCAGGAGAGCAGACACGAGCCACTGTATATACACATGCCTCATGCTGTCCTTTTCTTTTTTTGCACCTAGTAGCCAGCATGTACAAAAGGACTGTAGAACAGAACTTCTAAATAATGTACATAGATGTATCATTAATGTAGGCTTAGATCTATAACTGTAGAAATAAGCAAAAACTAACAAACACCAAAAAAAAATCCCCAATGTAGAGTAGGCATTTCTGTTCTGATGTCTGTGCCTCCCAGATTACTTCCATCCATCGACTGCTGGTCCTTTATTGCATGGCCGAGTTCCAGGTCCCAGACTGGAGGCCCCTCGGGCACCGCACTGTGCCCTCGCCAATCCTCTCATCCAATCTAACAAGCCATAGGGCTGGGGGCATTGGGAGAGCCAATAGGTGGCAAGACCCGCCACCAAGATGCTGACGGCCAATGAAATGCTTGCCAAGTCTAACAGGGGCCTCGCTGTGTCCTGGGGGGAACACACTCTCTTGCATGGCACTGGTGATGCGTTGACGCTCCTCACGCGCACTCTCGCCCTTTGTGGTTTCATAGTTGAGGAGACTTTTCTGCGCAGCCACTGGGTCTCCAGCTGTTCCACCCGTGACCATGAGAAACCGCAGACTGTTAAGATGAGACGTGGTGAGTGAGCAGACGATGGATGGGGTCTAAAGGCACGTGGTGGGTGCCGCAGATGGTCACCAGGGACCGCTCACTCTCGCTGGAGCTCTGATGAGGACGTCCTGCCTGTCCCTGGGGGCTCATCCATCAAGCATTTCTCGCATTGTGACTTCTCTATGCTTCACTCACGAAACCATCCGATCCAGGTTCAGTATTCAAAGATGCGGTCAACGATGAGGGTGACTATCTAAGAAATCTCTGCGGGGGTATGCCACCCATGAGAAATCAAATCCAAAGTGTCTGTCATGCTAACGAGGACAAACAAAACACTGCAGCCTTAATTCATTTTAATCTGCAAAGACAGGTGTAGAAAAAGAGGGGAGGGGAGGAAGATGAAGGGAGGATGGGAGGGAGAAAGGGAGGGGTATTTTGAACTGAAAAATCTAAATTCCAAAATGGAAAAAAAAAATAGGAAAGGAAGAGAATCTTGGACACAACGGAGGGGCAGGTGGAGATTTTGCACTGTAACAGATCTTACATGTTCATTTCGCATTTAGAAACCGCTTGTTCTTGAACACAGTCGCCCATCATCAATATTCATTGAATGGATCCAGTTTATTTTCAGCGCCCACAGCTGTGCTCGGTTTGAGGCTCTGCACCACGGAGGTCAAAGAGATGCAGCACGCTGCCTCCCTGTTCCTCCAGCCACCCCCGTCCAGACTGCACAGGCTTCGCCACAGTCCGGGGACCTCATCTACCAGAGAGCGATTGCCTGGGAGACGAGGCGAGTGGCTCCTCCGTGTGACATCGGGGTCTTGCATCAGGACAGCTGCTTCTTGCCCTGGCTTGATGGAAAACAAACCAGGGGCCGACATGTCATGTTTTTCGCATTCAGTATGCGTTGATCCGCTTCTCCATCGCGCACCCTCTAGGGAGGGGGTGGTGGTCGAGGAGGACGCCACCTGGTGCGCTTCCTGCGAGGCTGTGGGGGAGGTCCCGTGCCTGACCTCACTGTGGCCTTACGAAGGGCACACTCTTGGCTTCGGGCGCTCACTCTGCAGCCTCGCCAGGGTTGCAGGGCAGGGCCTGGGTAGCACAAAGCAAGACGAAATCGGGGCTGTGAGACCTCTGCTAATTTAGCTCTTGAAGACTCCCCGGGGCCTTTCAATCCATGACTAAGGTGTCAGGGACAACCCCCACCTTGCTGTCTGATTGGAAGAGCAGCTCGGGCCTGTTCACTTCTTGCCTGTCCCCTTAGCACAATGGAACGGAGCGGAACAGAGGGCCTGACAACACCTTGGCCAGGAGCACGAGTGGTTCCGTGTCTGTGAGAGGGCTCCCTGTTTTCACTGTCTTTGGTGTCCGTGTACTTGGAGAAAGAACTTGAACCAAATCTTGTTTTTTGTAACGTGAGCCTCTGAATCTTTAAAGTTCCATGCTCCTGCTGAACTTTTCTGAGACCGCCCCTAACACGTCTATTTTTCTACAGTTGTTGAGAATACCGTTTAACAGTGTATTTTGTGTCAATTGTTACAATTTGCAATTGAAAGAAGTTCATTAAGACGGAATTTTCTAAGCAGCAAGTAGTGAATGGTGTTTTTCATTAAGTCAGTTCAACAAAATCGACGCCACAGTTTCTCCCCATTCTGGGTCACAGAACCCAGCCCTCATCCACGATGGAAATCAGCCTATTTTCATGTGACAGTATCATAGCTGATGGAGACGACTCTCAGCTCGATATTGTGGTCTGCTGGGTTGATGCGTTTGAGTCACTGGGCCGTGAAGTGTGGTGGGGGCCATGAGCCAGATCAGAGCCCGGATGAAGGCTGACAGGGCAGCGCACTCCTGAGGGCAGTGCAGCTCCTTTGGGGTTCCCACTTGCGTTCCCCCAGCAGCTCTCCAGCTGCGCATTTATAAATCCACCTTATGTAACTAATAAAATAGTTCATGTTTTATGTTATCGCTTGGGCGAACTATTTTGCGTGAACACACTTGCAGTCACTGTAATGTCAGCTCAGCGTTTTTCCACTCCTTCTCAACCCGGATTCCAACCCAGCTGATCCAACACTCAGCCACTCCGCGTCCACGCAGCGGGACGCGCTCTCGCCCAGCCCCCTCCTCCCCTGAGCCTCACTTGCTCCTCCCCTGGTTCCCTGCTCTCAAGTCTATGGATTTAGTTTAGTGTCTTCGGTTCCCTAATAGGTTCCCTAATGGAGATCCAGCTTCTGTCTCTAAAAAGATCAACCTATTTTTTAAGCACAATTTTCACTCACAGGTTCAACCCAACTCCAGCTCTGACCTATCTATTTTTCATTACACTTTAATTTTTTTAATGTATGACTTCATTTGAAAGCCTAAATTTTGAAGTCTCCCAAATACCACCCTTATGCCTTCCCTTCCTATGATTTCTTACAGCTCAGATTTCTTACTTTTTCCCCTTTTTTTTAACCTAGATTTGAGCCAGTATCCTTGGGATATTCAAAAATTGTTTACAAACGTGGGAGCTGGTAGACAGAGAAAAAGGGCATAACACCGTGATCACACCAGAAGAATGAGAAATCATTTGACTTTGCTGGGCAAATAACATTTACAGTAAGTTATTTCCAAAACAGCTTGCCAATAGCTTGACTGCTTTTTAATCTTTCTTTCATTGACTCAGATACTTTAAAAAGTCAGGAAGAGAGGTGAAAACTAAGGGTTCCACATACGAGAGTACTTCAAACAGTTTGTGTAAAATGGAGCCAAAAGATAAGTTTCTTTGGGTGGAAAACCATTTTTAAATCCATGCAGATGAGGGGTCTTCCGAGAGTTAGAAAAATGTATATGATGAAAAATGATGGATGACTTTTTGAGATTATAGCACGGACGTAAATTGTTCTCTTCATTTTCCGCAAATTCTAGGATGCGTCCTCATAAATGGAAGTATTGTCTTGTGGTGATTTTCCTTCAGTGGCGGGAGCTATAAATCCGGAATGATGATCATTGATATGACACTGTAGTGTAGCAGAGTCATTCCATCTCGTTTCTAGACTCTAAAGCCAACCTAGAATCCAGGAAATACTACCTTTTACTTGAAAACTGAGTAAAACACACCTCTTCCTAATATTTCTGCCCTTTACCTCTTGAAGTGCTTTTCATACAGAGTGCTACCTTTCAGTCGAAATTCTGTCAGAAGGTTGCTAAGAGATTTGATGAAACACAGTATGCACAATAACAAAACTATTTTTCCCTGCCTTGTGTGTTGCTTTAGCACACTTAGAGCACCTGCCCGAATTATCTCACTGCATTGTAACCCACTGTGGGAGGCTGCGTGCCGTAATTTACACTTTCTAGATGGAAACCAACGATGTGGGGAGATGGAGTCACTTCCCAAGGTCACTTCCCCAAGACCAGTGAATGCTAGATGCTGGCTGCATATTCAGGTCCTGAGGCTCCAAGACTTACTACAAAAAAAAATTTTTTCAGCAAAGCAAATCTGCAAACAGAACGCAACCCACTGCCTGTCGTTGTACCACTTGCCAGCTACGAATGGTTTCCACATTTTTCAATGGCTGGGGGGGAAGTAAACAAAAGAAGAATATTTTGTGATATGTGAAAATCATGAAATTCAAATTTCGGTGTCCATAAATAAAGGTTTATTGGCTCCCAGTCATGCCCACTTGTAGATGTATTGCCTATGGCTGCTTTCAGATCTCACTGGCAGAGCTGAGCAGTTAAAACACAGACCATATGGTGAGCAAAAACTGACATATTTCCTAGCTGGCCCTCTACAGGGGAAGTCGGCCAGTCCTTGTACTATACTAGTAATACTAGCAAGTACTATTGGTACTACTGAGTGCTGCTAATTACTAAGTGCTAAGAGTACTAGGAATATTCAATAGTGCTAGTAAGTACTGTACTATGTTGTTAGGAGATTTCCTGGGGAACTTAGGAAGCTGGCCTTCCCTTGCAGTATAGATCTGTTGGAGCTGCTCATGGGTCCACGTAAGGAAAATTGCACAGCTGTTTTTGGTAAAGGGACATCAGCTTCACGAGACTCTGAATCCAGTCCCACAGTCGGGGTCTCAAAGGAAGAGGCTTCCTTTTCTTAACCGCCCCCCCCCCCCGAGTGGCAAACAACCAGCCAGGGTCCAGTGGTCAACTCAGAAACCAGATACAGTCAAAGTACTCATTCAGAGCAACAGGGAAACAGAATGCCCGGCCCAGCAACGCAAGTACTGCTCTGCGGGGGCCCAGAGGCCCTGCGTTCAGGGCTGGGGGGCGTCCAGCCCGCGGGGCTGAGTAAGGCCCACAAAATCATTTGGTGTGGCCCCACCACGGCCACTGCCGGTTCGACTCCAAATTCGGTAAATCCACAGCAGACTAATTGCGAAGTCGAGAATTGTGCGTGGCCCACGAATGATGCTACAAACACTCAAACGGCCATGGGCAGGAGAAAGGTTCCCCATCCTTGAATGGCTCAGCCTTTTGTCTCTGCTTAGTGGGGTGAACTGGACTAAGAGCGGTTGACACAAGTCCCGCCAGTCTCCCCTCGCGGCCTTGGCTTCTCTGTTATGCTGTCTTGGGGGAGAACTGAACAGGCTGCTGAAGTCCCCTCTCGCCTGCAATTTACAACTGACCAGGGTGGCGAAGGTGACCCTGGAACTTCTGCTTGGACTCTCTCAAGTCCCTCAACCAGCAGCGTAACTTGCAAATGAAGAACTGAATGCTTCTCTTGGAAAACCAAGTGGATCTTTGAAAAGAGCTCAGGGAGCAACCGAAGGCTCGTAAAGAGTTGTTGACGTGTTTGTTTCTCTGTGAGTCAGAAGCACAATACCCAGATTGGTAATCAGGGAACTACTGGATGGATGAAAGCCAGACTGTGGTGTGTCTCGCTAAGTCGGTATTAAATGACCTTCTTCTGTGTCACTCAGCAGAACTCGCTTCTGATCCAAGCAAGCGTTTCGAGTGCCAGCTGTAGTCCACCAAACTAAGTTTTAGTTCTATTAAAAAAAAAAAAAGTAGCAAGTTCTCATATGAGTGCTTTTCCGCAAATCAGGTGAGGCAAAAAAAGTCGTAGACTCTTGTGATGTTGTGTTGCTATAGGAACATGATGGATGTGGTCCTGGGTCTAAATCCCAGGAGGTGATGGTGTCCGTGCCGTAGACCACGCAGAAAGCGCAGGGGACCCTGCAGCCTAACAACCAGGCAGGAGGAAACCCGTCTCCAAGGGCAACACCATGAAACCCACGTAGGTGTGAAAGGAGGCAAACTTTGACCTGGCCCCATTACCTGGGCAAGAGGCAGCTTCACGCAGCCACCTAATCCAGATAGGAGAGTCCCAGGGAAAGGAAGGCAAAACACAGGTAAGACAGCCAGGAAGAGTTCACTGGCATAGTTTACAGGATGAAGTGAGGGACACCGGTCACTGATGAAAATGGTATTTATAAAGCTATTTGTAGGCCGGCACCACGGCTCAATAGGCTAATCCTCCGCCTTGCGGCGCCGGCACACCGGGTTCTAGTCCCGGTCGGGGTGCCGGTTCTGTCCCGGTTGCCCCTCTTCCAGGCCAGCTCTCTGCTGTGGCCAGGGAGTGCAGTGGAGGATGGCCCAAGTGCTTGGGCCCTGCACCCCATGGGAGACCAGGAGAAGCACCCGGCTCCTGCCCTCAGATCAGCACAGTGTGCCGGCCGCAGCACACCGGCTGCGGCGGCCATTGGAGGGTGACCCAACGGCAAAAGGAAGACCTTTCTCTCTGTCTCTCTCTCTCACTGTCCACTCTGCCTGTCAAAAATAAATACATAAATAAATAAATAAAGCTATTTGTAGACACTGTGCCCCTAGACAGGAATCCTAAGGTGCCCTGTGGTCACCGAGAATCATGGCCACAAAGTCGAAGCGTTTCCATTTCAGAAGTCTAATTGGCCTTTGCACGAGCAAGGCCCAGTGCCCATGGCAGGATCTCCGGTCGTGAGGACTGTGACGCCTAACCCACCGCTCCGGCGATGTAAATGCCAACAAGCTCTAGTGAACTAAACGTGGACTTCATTCTCGTTTCCGAAATTCTCATGGGAATCATAAAACATTCCCCCACAGAGGACAGCTCTCCCAGGAGCCCAGGGTTAGTCTTCTGCCCACTTAAGAAGACCCCAGGCCAGGCTGAGTGCCTCACGGGGTGCAGTAGCATTGGGCCTGTTGCCACTAAGCACAGGGAGTAGGATGGGGCGGTTGGAGTGCAGCCAGACGCTGCCGGGGGCCCTGCGTGATCTGAACCTCTGCCTCTTGGACCAGTGTTCCCAGGGGAGAAGAAAGAACACTGTCCTCAGACGCAGCCTTTACAGGGCCATTCTAGAATCTTCTCTGAGCATCTCTGCCCCCAGCGGGTGTGAGAAGTACCCTCCTGTGTCTCATCCTTGGGAGATCCGACAGCCTTGACCGACCTGCCTGCTAAGGTCTCCCCGGATTTGTCCAGACATTCTGCTTTTCCCACGGGGATTCTCAGTGCTTTGGCTTCTTCCTTCCCACGTCTAATTCTTCACCTCCTAGGAAGTCTCACTTTCTGGTGTCTCAAGGCCCCGAGCGTGCATTGTGTCTCCCGGATGAACTTCTTCCTCTAGGGGCTGCTTCCTGCCCACCCAATGTCCCCCTCCCCACAAGAAGCATTTTCTGGGGAACCTGCAGCTTTCAGGTTTACCTGGGCCAGCAACCTTGACACCCATAGCTCAGGGTTCAGGCTGGAATTAAGACCTTGAGAGTCGCCGGCGCCGCAGCTCACTTGGCTAATCCTCCAGCTACGGCGCCAGCACACCAGGTTCTAGTCCCGGTCGGGGCGCTGGATTCTGTCCCGGTTGCTCCTCTTCCAGGCCAGCTCTCTGCTGTGGCCCGGGAGTGCAGTGGAGAATGGCCCAAGTGCTTGCACACTGCACCCGCATGGGAGACCAGGAGAAGCACCTGGCTCCTGGCTTCGGATCAGTGCAGTGCGCTGGCCGCAGCACATCAGCCACAGTGGCCATTGCGGGGTGAACCAACGGAAGGAAGACCTTTCTCTCTGTCTCTCTCTCTCACTGTCTACTCTGCCTGTCAAAAAAAAAAAAAAAAAAAAAAGACCTTGAGAGTCCCCCCAGCACCAGAGTGCCCCTCCCCTGTGTAAGTGCGAAGAAAACAATGCAGAGTGAGCGGAGGAAAAGTCCGGACATTCCGCTTTTCCCACGGGGATTCTCAGTGCTTTGGCTTCTTCCTTCCCACGTCTAATTCTTCACCTCCTAGGAAGTCTCACTTTCTGGTGTCTCGAGGCCCCAAGCGTGCATTTGGCCATCAGGCAACCGCAGCCCCGTCCCTGACCAGCCCGAGCTGACCTCTTGTTCTGAGTACGTCTGAAAGCTGTCTGCGTGAAGCCGCCCCACAGCCAATCCAAATCCCACCCTGGTCGATAATCTTCATGTCCCCTCCCCTCCCCTCCGAGAGGACGGCAGTGCTAAGGGTGCCACCTTTACTTCCTCCAGATCCAACAGTTAGTGACACAAAATGTGCTGTCCCCAGGGACGCTCTGACTCCTCATGTGATGGCACGTGATGGCACGCCTCCTCTCCAGGTTCTTACCCCCTCGTCCCACCTCCAGAACTTCACCTTGCTTGCGTCTTTGAGGCTTGAAGCCCATCCTTACAGCAGCAGCCACAAGCCAGCAACCTCTCACTGGGCTTCGTCCTGTCACCTTCCGCTCACCGCCACCGTCAGTTTTAACTGAGCACATGCTATGTTTAGTCTGACCACCTGAGATCAAACAGGAGGCCACTGTGTTCCTGCCAACAGACACCTCGAAAGCCATGAGCGATGGTTGGGCGTCTAGGGCCCAGGCCAGCGGGGTGGTCCCGCTTTCTGCAGCCAGCTATTAGGGAGGATCCTGAACCCCTTCATTCAGCCCAGCAGTTTCTTACCTAAAACGAGAGGTGCACAGCGCCAACAGTAACCGCACACGTGCGCACATGCGCATGGGATTCTGAAATGATGACCCGAATACCTGCCCGTGTTGGCAAATGGGTCTCTCCTCCCCCGCCCTCTGCACAGACTGAGCCCTGGAGTGCCTGCTGCCATGGCAACGCCGGCCCATCAGTGGGGACCACTCCCCCACCGGCTCCAGGAGGCCCGGCAGAGGCCCCACGAGGGGCTGCCTCACTTGCAGGCACCCTGGGGACAGCCAAGCAAGTGCAGGGCTGGGCCGGGGCAAAGGGGCGCTCACGCGGCTGCCTGCTGCAGGATATCCCTAGCCCTTCTCTCTAGGACTGCGTGAACTTAGGTGGTCACGTTGCTCCTGGAAGAACTCAGGCCGGGGTCGCAGCACAGTGAGTGAAGTGTCTGCCTGGAGATGCTGCCATCCCGTATCGCTCTGGTTCAAGGCCCGGCTGCTCCACTTCCAATCCAGCTCCCTGCTGGTGCGCCTGGGAAAGCAGGGGAAGTTGGCCCAAGTGTTTGGGTCCCCGCCATGCATGTGGGAGATGCGGGTGGAGGCCCTGACTCCTGGCTTCAGCCTGGCCTACTTCCAGCTGTTGTAACCAATAGGGAGTGAACCAGTGGATGGAAGATCCGCCTCTCTCCCTCTCCCTCCTCCCCTGTCTGTCACTCTCTTAAAAGTAAGCTACTCTCTAAGGCATCATCCCCACAGCACACACACC